GCTCTTCCGGCTGGGGCTGCACAGCGGGGAGATCCGGACCGCGCGCGCCTTTGCGGACAGAGATGCGGTGAAGCACCGGCTGGTCGCCCTGGTGAAGGACAACGGGCAGCCGCCTCTCTCCGCCACCGTGACTCTGAGCCTGGCGTTCGCCGAGAACTTCCAAGAGGCTCTCCCGGAAATGAGCGACCGGTCGGCTGAGTCGGCGCCGCAGTCTGATTTGCAGTTCTACTTGGTGTTGGCCTTGGCCTTGGTCTCGTTTCTCTTCCTCCTGACGGTGACACTGGCCATTGCGGTGAGATTGCGAAAGGCTGCGAATTGCTCAGGTTTGCGATGTTTGGGTTCCGATTATTCCAAGGCGGGTCCCGGATTCCCACCAGGCTACTGCGAGGGGACTTTGCCGTACAGCTACAACCTGTGTTTAGCCGCAGACTCCGGAAGGAACAACTCTAACTCTCTGAAACCAAACGGCCAGAACGGAATGGGAGAGATTATCTTTGCCAGTGACATCTCCCAGATGTTTCTCACCAGCAGTAGGAGCTCGGCTTCTGTAGAGCAAAAGTCTGAGCCTGACAGCGTTGGGAAGGTGAGCCCCTGTGCTAACGCGCTTGCATGTTGCTTGTGTTCTTCTATGTTTTAGCACTGGCAAATCAAGGGCAATCATTTAATGTTAAACCTGATTAATTGAAAATAGTAATTCTCTCAACAGACAGTTTTATACGGGCTTTTATTGATATAAATATCATTGATATTGCTCGTGTTTTGCAATATTGAATTGGTATCAAGTTGATAAAGCACAAAATATATTGCGCTGACGAGAGAAACTGTATCGGTAGTTTTATTCCTATGTTAATGGTTGTGTGGATAACCAGTTACTCGTGGGTTTTAATTCCTGATCTTTTGCTCTTGGGTTTTCAATCAATTTTTAGAAGACAACTCTATTACAACACTGTAATTTTAAAATTTCACAGAATTAGGTAGCACATACATAACACAACCGCCACACAGATGCCTTCAAAACAAGTTTATAAAAACTAAAGCCAAAATTGGAACAGTAAAGTAGATATTGGATGGTCACGTTTCGGGTCTAGCCTCCTGACGTCCTTCTCTTCATTGGTCTATGAGAATGAACTCACCATTCAGAGTTGACATTCCAGAAACAAAGCAATCTGGGATATATCCTGGGCTACCCACAAGGAATAACATTTTAAAATATCCTAGTTTACATATCGACAAAACACGTAAACAACAGGTATGTGATATTCGTGTGATATTCACATTTTCTATTGCTCTCTGACGGGATACAGTAATTCCTCATTTAACACTATAGATGCATTTCTGAAAATGTTCGTGCTATGCGGGGTCAATTTTCTCATTAAAATAATGGAAAAGGTGGGGGTTGCGTTTCAGGTTTGTGTTTCAGAGCAAAGTCAATTTTTGTCAGCATTAGATATTTAGCAACACAAGATAACTAGCAACACAAATCGCTGTGGTTTGTTAAAACACAAAGATAAACAGTGAGTAAGCGGAGGAGTGCTGTGACCAGTGTATTCATCCGCTCATACATATTACCACTGTTTTCACCAACTTATACCGCCAGGCGAAGTATTCTTCCACTTGATTATTATTTTCGTGTTATTTTGGGGACTGTTGTTTTATTTGAAAAACGTTCCCTAAAAATAAAATCATGCTCTTGTGAAAACGTGTTAAGCAGGCATGTGTGAAATGAGTAATTACTGTAGTCAGCTCAGCAATGGCTGCATATTTGTTTCTAATGGCAGCAGGGGTTCAATAGGCTGGTTTTGAATTATAAACTCCTGAATGGGTGGGGGCCCATCTATTTCGGATCATCTCTCCCTGTCTCACTCACTGCTTTAAATGCATCCCACTGCAGCACCACAGCCCCTGGCAGGGCTTTCTCTGCCCTCTGCTTGGGAACTCAAATTTAGCCACATTGTCTGACCTTTGGAGCCCGCTGCAAAGGTGCTTTGTTTCACGGGCGCTTGGAACCAAGGGAGACTGATGGGAATTTGTGCTGGTGGGTAGGTTACGTTTATATTTTAGTTTTCTGCCTCCATGAATCTTAATGTAATTAGGGTAGACTAGTGGATTTGAGAACGTTCACGTATATGTATTAGAAGACTTACCGGCCATTGCCTAAGTCCTTTGGGGCAAGGGGCTGGTGATGGGGAGAGGGGGCAGGAGGAGTGAAGGCAGGGCCTTTGGAACGTGGCGAGGGGGAAAGGCAGGAGACTGGAGGTGTGAGGGATGAGAGTGATGGTTGGAGGATGAGGAGGGGCTAAGGGTGGGGCGGAGAACGTTCACGTATATGTATTAGAAGACTTACCGGCCATTGCCTAAGTCCTTTGGGGCAAGGGGCTGGTGATGGGGAGAGGGGGCAGGAGGAGTGAAGGCAGGGCCTTTGGAACGTGGCGAGGGGGAAAGGCAGGAGACTGGAGGTGTGAGGGATGAGAGTGATGGTTGGAGGATGAGGAGGGGCTAAGGGTGGGGCGG